CACTCTTTCAGTGAAAGTGAAAGGGTGTTGATAGCTTGCTCGGTGCCGGGTACAGCTGTAGGTGGTGGGTAAATGGTCGCGAACAAGAGACACAGATTCATTACTATTTTTATTCCAGAAAGGGAGGTGATTGAAGAAGTAAACAGGCAAAGGTGAATGCAGATGGTGGTACTTGCTGTGAAGGAATAAATAGGGGAAGAGGATAGACGGAGTGGAGGATGTTGGGAGGGGCGTGCTGTTTTCAGAGAGGATGGAGCTTGACATCTTTAAGAAACAGAAAGAACCCCCCGGAGTGAGCTGGAGTGAAGAGGAAGAGGGAGCAACATGGGAGCTGAGGTGGGAGAGACAGGCGGCCACAGTCCCAGGGTTGGGGGGCCACCGTCGGAAGCCACTGGGGCACTGTGAGACGGAGAGTGACGGGGTCTGATTTACGTTTTTTAAAGGCCCTTTATCTGTTGGGAGAAGAACCAGCTGGAAGGTGAGTGAAGGACGAGGGTCTTTGCTGTTGTCCAGGGCAGGGGTCATCCTGAAGGCAGGAGGCGCATGGTTCGGGGAGGGGAAAGGAGGAAATTCAGTAGGAGGTGGGACAAAAGCGAGGAGGCGAGAAAGAAGCCGTAATAGCAAGAGCTCGGAATAAAGAGCCGAGAGGATTCTCGCCTCCAGTCGTCTCTGTGACCTGGCGTGAATCAGCTCACTCCGCGCCTCAGGGGTACGCGGCAGGACGTGGACCAGCTGCTGTCTCGGACCCTTTGCACCGCAGAGTCTCTGAAATGCACAGTTTTTCTCTTCCTCCATAAGGAGTAATGGCCTCTCTGCTCCCCGTTAAATGGACTCTCGAGACAGCTACGTGTTCCTCGTTATGGTGACAGGTTTTTAACACGGTTCAGTAGGCCTGGGTTGCTATGGAAACCGTAGCCTTCAGAAGTCACAGGGATGAGATAAGTAGGAAACAAGGCCTTGTCAAGGCCTCGGGAAGATGCGCTATAGGGGCACAAGGAGGAGCCTAGGTGGGGAGGCGGGTCCCCCAAAGCCTTTTTTCTGCCTTCCCCTGTTAGCACCTCCTTCTTGAGGAGGTACGACATGAGGAAATCAATTAAGCTTCCCCTGAGGGGCAGACTATCGGTGGGGCTACAAGGAAGGGGTGGTCCCTCACATATATCACTGAGGACAACAGGACACTGAGGATCAAAGATCTTCAGAGCTGAGAGAGACCCCAACAGTATATATATTTCAACCCTCTCTATTCGTAAGTAAGGAAATAGCGAACCAGAGGAGGGGAGCAACTCCCCTGAGGTCACACAGCACATCAGCAGCAGAGGCGGGGGAACGAAAGCCTAGGTTTCCAGGACTGGTCCCAGTCCTGGGGGCACTGGAGACGGGCACATAGCACAGATCAGGGCTCCCCAAAGCTGTGCCTCTGCTTTCTACTTGGGCAACTGGGGACGTCCCCAAGCTAAGATGATGCTTTCTGAGATTAGAATGAGGCATGAGCTTTTTGGAGCTTTTTACTTTATGAAGCTGAAATTCCATAAATATTGAAATAACACATCAATTGTTCTCATTAAAGAGGGGGACTAACAACAAAAAAAATAGGAGGGAGGAAGAGAGGAAGGAAGGAGACTCAATGGCCATCCACAAGGGAAGGGCTCTGAAGCATTTAAAAAGAATTAAGATACTAAAATAGCTTTGCGCATACCAACATTGAAAATAGTGAAAGCATAATATTAAGTGGAAAAAACGCAAGTCCCAGGACAAGACACAGTATGATGCCACACATGTAAAATAAATAACCAAATAATAAAGCCCACAGAAGAACACCACATTGAAAAGTAAAACTAGAAAAAAAGCATACCAAATAGTTCAATCATTTTCTCTAGGTACCAGGGCGGGAAGCAGGCTTAGAGGTCAAAGGGGACTTTAGCTTTATCTGGAGCGTCTGGTATTTTACAAAGAAAGTATATTCACATAGTATTATTGAACTAAAAGTAAAATTTAAAAATCGAAGCAGTATATAATAATTTTAGAAAACTTGGAAGGACACTGAAAAGTGAGAAGCCTTTTGCCCATATTTCTTTTGTGCCCATTGTCTTTTTCTCACAGATTTTCAGAGTTCTTTCTGGTCGTGGGTTCCATGTTGGTGTATATTCTGCAAGTGCCTTTTCTCATTCCGTGGCTCCCTTTTTTGTTTTTTTAACAGAGATTATTAATGTATCATTAATTTGTAGATGGAGGAAATATCAATTGAAAAGATGATTACTTAGACGAAGGTATATTTGCTTCTTTAAGTGAGGTACTTGTAAATGTTTCTTAAAATTCAGCGTGTAATATTACTACAGAGACCCAATTTTGTGTGGAATGGGGTGTTTGCTTGGTGCTTTTAACTAAGGTCTAACATATATACAGCAGTACATGGAACAGGCAGTGTTCTCACTGTATAGACTAATTCAGTAGTCCATTTTACTGTGAATGGACATTGGAATTATGTACAGTTCGATACTATTATGAATGAAGATGTGATGGATACCCTTGTACGTGTCTCTGGGTGGACGTGTGCTGTCATTTCTAGTAGTGAAGCAGCCGAGTAGTGCAGATACTGCCAAACAGCTTTACAAAGTGGTTGTACCAATCTCTTCTCCCATTCAGCAGAATATGAGAGTTTTAATTTCTTTACATTCTCATGAACTCTTGGATTTGTCTGTCTTTTCGATCATAGTCATTCCAGTGGATGTGTTGTGACATCTCTTTATGGTTCTTATTTCCCTGCTGACTAACGATGCTGAGCATCTTTCCATTTGGATGGCCTCTTCTGCGAAGTGCTGAAGTTCAGTATTTTTTGCCTATTTTTAAATTGAGTTATCTTTTTCTTTTTAATTTTTGAGTCTTATTTATATATTGTGGATACCCGTATTGCACATGTATTCCTGCAGCTTGTCCTTTGATGAACGGAAATTTATAAGGTTCAGCATATTTATCAATTTGTTTCCTGTATGGTTGGTGCTCTTGTGACTTATTTAAAAAGACTTCCTTAAAGTCATGAAGATATATTTTCTTCTAAAAGTTTTGGAAGTTAGCCTTTCAAGGTGTAACTCACCTTTGAGTCTGTTATTTATCTGGAACTGATGTTGGTGTTTCGTGGTGAGCAGAAATCCAATTTCACTTTTTGCCGAGCTGTCCCAGTACCACTGATTAGAAAGACTTTCTTCTCCCCACTCTGCGGTGGTGGCGCCATGTCTGTCTTTATCAAGTGTCCACAGAAGGTCTGGTCATGGCGGACTCTTGTTAAGTCTAATCTGAAATGAATCAGTATTTCTTAAGTATCTATTTATAAGCCTGTTATGTTTTTAAAGGACATTCTATTATTAATGATGAGTATTTCCTCTAGTTTCTCCTACCCTGAGAAATCATAAGGTGATCATTAGGGAAATACTCCAGTCACCAGTCCTCTGTTTTGTTCCAATTTTGTGTGGTTACCTAGCCATCAGCCCATTGCTATGCCAACACACACCAGGCGGGGGCCCTGTTCATTCACGTGAGCAAGGGAGGGCCTGCGTCTCTGGGAAGGAGCCGGCCCTTCTGTCTGCCTTTACTGCAGGGCCTCCCACCCACTATTTGAGACTGCTCCCTGCCTTGGACGCTGTGGTTTACTTCTCTCCTCCTTATAACTTGCGTGAGCCACGGTCACACTCTGGTCAGGAGGCGAGGACAGTCTAGGCCCATCACGGGATCTGCGAAGGCCATCAGACGCCACCAGGGCAGGTCTCTCAACCTCCGCACCGTGGATATTTTGTTGTAGGGGCCTGTCCTGTGCATTGTAGGAGCCTGGGCAACATGGCTGGGTTCCACCCACTGGCTGCTCGTAGCATCCTCCCCAGCGTGACCACCGAAAGTGTCTCCAGACCCTGCATCATACTCCTTTGGAGAACAAAACCTCCCCCTGCTGAGAGCCACTGATCCAGTGCAGTCCTCTCTTTTG